GATTTTTATCAGGTTTCAAATAGCATCGTGCTTCTTCAGGTATATTTGGATTTTGTAATATATCTGCTTGTTGTAAACGCAAACATCCATTAATTTTAGTAAGAAACTTACTGACCATTATAGATCTTCTATTTCCTTTTTTTCATAGTGGCAGTTCTCTATTTTTAGCTTAAATTTCACGTTTACCATTATTAGAATAAAAAATACACTCATCATAAGTTACAAGAATTCTTCTTTTTCTTTTTCAGATAAGTTGGAATATATACGATTCATTATTTCATCTTCATACTTAGACATATATTTCTCATGTTCAAACATTTTTCTAAAAATACTTTGCGATATTATAAAATATCATCTCGTTCGTATCCATCATAATATATACCTTAATGATGTTGTTGAAATGAATAACCAAGAATATTAAGCCATCTTGTTACAGTCATTAAAGAAATAGTTTTTTTTGTAATTCTGATATCAGGCAATAGTTTCTGTTCAACAAATTCTTTAAACATAGCCAGCGTGGCCTTGAAATTTTGCTTATGAATTTAAATTCGACATTTTTCAGCTATATCTTCATCATCAATTAATTTAATAGTTTTTTGATGCTTTCCATGTTTAGATGTGGGAGTTTATTATTATGTAACCAGTAAGTTGCATTATATCAGATATGTCGCGCTTTTCATGGATTACCATCAAAAAAAACGATTTTAGCTGCCTCTAAACTAGCATGCATTTTTCCATTATTTAAGCAGGTAAGATATTCATAGATAGCTCTTTTTTTGTTATATTCAGTAATGGTTATTTTATCATATTATTTTTCTAATTGTTCTTTTAGACTTCGTATTCTTTTATCAATTTGGTAAGTATTTTTATTACTGATTTCATTTTCTGAATTACTTGAAATTCTATCAGATTGTATAATTGTAGCTTGATTACTAACTTTAAAAAAACTTGTAATTTTTTTAGTATTAATAGCTGCCTTAGTAAATGAACTGATTGGTCCATATTTTTCATAATAACTTGATCTTGAAGTCTTTCTTGTCATATATCGACTACATTTTATTTTTTCTAATTCACTTTCTTCCTTTCACTCTAATTTAAGTTCTTTGTTTTTTAGGTTTTGTATTTTTTCAGTAATATCATTTTCATCGTCATCATCCTAACTACTATCTTCGTCATCATCCCATTCTTCTTCACCAAATTTTTCTTTATCAAAGAATTCCAAATTTATACTAATATCACTTTTATCCGCGGTCTTACCATCACCAGAAGTATCAAACAAACAACTATTACCATAAGGACCAGATGAACCACCATCACCAGAAGCACTAAATGAATAACTATCACCATAAGGATTAGACGAACCACCATCACCAGAAGCACCAAACGAATAATCATCACCATAAGGACCAGATGAACCACCATAACCAGAAGTACTAAACGAATCACTATCACCAGAAGCACTAAATGAACCACCATCACCATAAGGACTAGATGAATCACCATAACCAGAAGTATCAAACGAACCAATATTACCAGAAGCACCAAATGAACCACCATCACTATAAGGACCAGATGAACCACCATCACCAGAGGCACTAAACAAACTACTGTCATTAAAAGAACTAAATAAACCACTATTATTATGAGATGCAGTAATCGCAGTAACTGTGCTATAACGACCAACATTTTTTTTACAATTGTTGCTAATTAAAATTGAGAATTCAGGTTGATTTTAGTTATCTATACTTGGATATCATGCTTTTTTAGTATCAAATTTACCATCTACAGTGCGTTTTTGGTTTTTTAATTTTCTTTTTTTGCTTAGAAAGAGGTGGCATTTTTAATACAATAAAAAATAAATTGAAACACGTTCAAGATAATGATTTAATGCAAAGCACGTAATTAGTTTTATTAATTTAACGATTTAAGACGTGATTATTATCACATTTTTAGGTACAGTGTGAAACACAAATAAAATTTGCGATCATGCATTTTGACCGTCTTTATTATATAATATTCTATGGATTTAGGAAGAGAATTTCTGAAGTCGTCTATTTTATAGAAGGTATTTATGAATTTCTTTATCACCAAT